ATATTCGCCTGTCGTCCGGCTCAAACTCTTCCCTGGTATTTTTGAACAGGAATAGAGGTTGATTCCTTTGTTTCTTCTAATTAATTTTCAATAGGAGTTGATAAGTTCGCCTGTCGTCCGGTTCAAACTCCTCCCTGGTATTTTTGAACAAGAAATGGAGGTTGATTCCTTTGTTTCTTGTTTCTTCTAATTAATTTACAATAGGAGTTGATATATTCGCCTGTCGTCCGGCTCAAACTCCTCCCTGGTATTTTTTGAACAGGAATAGAGGTTGATTCTTTTGTTTCTTGTTTCTTCTAATTAATTTACAATAGGAGTTGACAGGTTCGCCTGTCGTCCGGCTCAAACTCCTCCCTGGTATTTTTGAACAGGAATAGAGGTTGATTCCTTTGTTTCTTGTTTCTTCTAATTATTTTTCAATAGGAGTTTATAGGTTCGTCTGTCGTCCGGCTCAAACTCCTCCCTGGTATTTTTGAACAAGAAATGGAGGTTGATTCCTTTGTTTCTTGTTTCTTCTAATTAATTTTCAATAGGAGTTGATATATTCGCCTGTCGTCCGGCTCAAACTCCTCCCTGGTATTTTTGAACAGGAATAGAGGTTGATTCTTTTGTTTCTTGTTTCTTCTAATTAATTTTCATTAGGAGTTGATAGGTTCGTCTGTCGTCCGGCTCAAAATCCTCCTTGGTATTTTTGAACAGGAATAGAGGTTGATTCCTTTGTTTCTTGTTTCTTCTAATTAATTTTCAATAGGAGTTGATAGGTTCGTCTGTCGTCCGGCTCAAACTTCTCCCTGGTATTTTTGAACAGGAATAGAGGTTTATTCCTTTGTTTCTTGTTCCTTCTAATTATTTTTCAATAGGAGTTGATAGGTTCGCCTGTCGTCCGGCTCAAACTCTTCCCTGGTATTTTTGAACAAGAATAAAGATTGATTCCTTTGTTTCTTGTTCCTTCTAATTTTTTTCTGAGTATCTTAGCTTTCCAGTACCCCCTTGCGTCTTAGTGGAATTATTGCCTTGCTTGGTGTGAGCAGATTAAAAGCAAAAAAGCTAAACACCGTCATGAAAATATAAATATCTAGAATAATGAGAAGAATAAAAGCGATTTAATGAGCTTTGCTGTCACTTGATTCTATATGAGAGGAACGAAATTACTGGAAAAATAATTGTATTTATTTGTGAGTAATGATTGTAATCATTGATGTAATCGACACTTTAGGAGAACATATGAAAAATAGATTCGTAGTTTGGACAAAAAAAGTGCCAATGTAAATGACAGTTAATAAAAGACAAACACCGCGCAAAAAGTTCATAAATAAAAGCTCGAAAAATAAAACGCAGTGGAAATGAGAATGATTGTGATGAAAACACTTTTGAAACTGGAGATGCTTTCATTTACAAAATGGCTCCAAACAATCAAAAACGTCCATGGGGCTGCGGGGAGTTTGTTAGTCAAAACGAGGCTAAATGAAAGATTTGGGATGAATATGAAAATAGAATATATTGTGCAAAAGCTGGAAACTCTCTAAATATCTGAATGATGTCCGAAAAGTAAAACACTGTAAATAGTCTTTGTGCTATGGACGTGGGCGATCAAGACTCTCCATAGCTTCCTATCTTTCGTAGCAAGATTTTAATTCTTAGTATCCACACCAGTCTATGTTCTTTTTTGTGATCCACAACATCCTTTCCTTTGTAGCTCTTAGCAATGTTTGTCTTTTTACTATTCTTACCAGTCCATGTTCTGCCATCCATTTACACAAGCTCTTTATGTAGGTTACATGCTGTTTCCATCTGCCCCTTTAGGACATGTCTCTCCACAGCATCCTATACTTTGTAGCTCTTACCAATGTTTGTCTTTTTACTATCTCTACCAGTCCATATTCTGCCATTTACACAATCTTCTTAGGTCGGTTACTCGCCGAGTTCCCTCTACCCCTTCAGGTCATGTCTCTCTACAACGTCCTATCCTTTGTAGCTCTTAGCAATATTTGTCGTTTTACTATTCTTACCAGTCCATGTTCTGCCATCCATTTACACAAGCTCGCTAGGTAGGTTACTCACTGTTTCTCTCTGCCCCTTCAGTTCATGTCTCTCCACAACGTCCTATCCTTTGTAGCTCTTAGCAATGTTTTTCTTTTTGCTATCTCTACCAGTCCATGTTCTGTCAAACATTTACACAACATCCTCAGGTCGGCTACTCGCTGTGTTCTCTCTGTCCCTTCAGGTTTTGTCTCTCCACAGCGTCCTATCCTTTGTAGCTCTTAGCAATCTTTTTACTATCCTTACGATCCATGTTCTGCCATCCATTTACACAAGCTCGCTAAGTAGGTTTCTCGCTGTTTCCCTCTGCCCCTTCAGGTCATGTCTCTCCACAGCATCCTATTCCTTGTAGCTCTTAGCAATGTTTGTCTTTTTACAATCCATACCAGTTCATTTTCTGCCATCCATTTACACAAGCTCGCTAGGTAGGTTTCTTGCTGTTTCTGCTCCTTCAGGACATGTCTCTCCACAACATCCTATCCTTTGTAGAATTTAGCAATATTTTTCTCTTTTTTTACTATCCTTACCAGTTCAGGTTTTATCATCCATTTGCACAAAATCTTTAGGTAGGTTACTCACTGTTTCCCTCTTTCCCTTTCCTCCGTCCAAAGTATTCTCAGTATCCTTCTGTAGAACCACATAACTGTTGCCTTATGTCTATTCTTTAATTGTTAGAAAACTGTTCATCATTCACATTCGTATAAGAGGCTTTGATATGTGGCATTTGAGAAAAATCTTTTTCGTTATTTCTCATTTTTGCTGTTTCTTTATACTTAGCTTAGTTTCTCGAAATCATCTTTTCGCACGCCGATTCCACTTCCCGCCGCTAACCGTCTGATCAACCGAATCAAAGTTCAAAGTTCAGCAATCATCGATTAACATTGATAGCGGGATTAACATTAATTCTGGGATGTAAAGCGTGTGCTGGACGTGTGTGTTAGCTCAGAGAAATACTTTGAAAGACTGGTAAGATTGATTTATCGAAAGAGACCAGGAAATTTGCGTATGCATAACATTTTGCTGCCGAACAACTCACGACCAACGTGACTTGGCCTCGAGAGATTAAATTTGACGGCAGGTCAATTTACGATCGGAAAAGTGGTCGCCGAAAAAAGTGGTTGCCGGTAAGCGGTTAATTGGTCGTCGGACATTTGGTAGACGTACGATTTCCGGTTAGACAAATGGTCACCGGAAATTGATGACCTCCTCAAAGAGCTCACCTGTTAGTTTGGAAACTGAACGCAAATTTACTTCTATTCAATAATTGCCGGAGATCGACAAGGTAAAATTACGATAGAAGAAACTGTTAGCATAGAACTTACGGTTCCATCTAGCCATTTAAAACTGTAAAATGATGAGACATTGCCGCTAATCTAGTACTGCTCTTAAAGTCAATGTACCATGGCAGAGAATATCGGGTGCCAATTCTACCTTAACGAACCGATCAGATTTACGATATCGGCAGGTGTAAATAGTTGGGTCATAAGCCTAACTACGTGGTCGAGAACTGATGGTGCCAGAAATTAAGAAAAAACCTAGGTTCAAGAACCGAGCCTTGTAATAATGCAAAAAGAGATACAGAATACAGTGGAACCTCGCTTCACGAATTTAATTCGTTCCTGAAGGCCGTTCGTAACCTGAAATGTTCGTAAACCAGCACTATTTTTCCTATATGAATCAATGTAGTGAAGAAAATATCACAGTACAATAAAATGGGAAAAGAAAAGCACGTCACGTGTGTAAGAACTGTCCAAATGTTTTATATTTCCGAGCGCTTTCGGCTATACCTTTAGCCATTATCAAGGATGATTCGATTTTCACCTTAATTGAGTGTGTACGTTCTGTGGATGTTTTTAATTTCCGAATACGGTTAGCATTGTGGCCTTGTTCGTAGTTAATATTCTTAAGAGTTGGCTTTTCCTTTTGGAACAAGGCAACAATGTGCTAACCGTATTCAGAAATTAAGAACATCCCTCCCACAGACTGATACATACATAGAACGCACACACTCAATTAAACTGAAAATCGAATCATCTTTGATAATGGCTAAAATATAACCAAAAGCGCTCGAAATATAAAAAACATTTGACAGTTCTTACACAACCTTTGTCCAGAAAATAAAGCTCTTGTTCGAACACAAGAAAAATTAAATAAAAGCTTAACCGTAGTACCTTGACTGTCGTTTTTTAATGAAACATGCATATATATATATATATATATATATATATATATATATATATATATATATATATATATATATATATATATAAAAAAAAAAAGACAAGCTAAAGAATAACCTCTCTGCTGTCAATGTGCTTCATACTAACTCCGAGCGAGTTGCACTGGACAGAAATCACCGCAGATATGCCAGAGTGGTTTCAAAATTTCCAAATCAGTTGTATTGACCGGCTAAGAGACGAAAGACAACGTCGAAAAGCGTCAGCAAATATTCCTGTTGCTATGTCACGAGATCCTCTCTGTTGCATAATATGAGGGCTTGCATGCAGGTCACTAGCGGGGACATAAGAACTGAAATACAGTTTGTTGATATATAAAATTATACAAAATTATACATATGATCCTGAAAAATTTATTTTGGTTGAGCTCTCTGGGGAGGAAGTGTGCGTTTGTAAACAGTGACTATTACGGCTAATAATGCAAGACTCTTCGGTAAATCGAATCGAGTTCTCTCAGTTTTTTGTGTTTATCTAAAAAGATAAATACGCTTAAATTCACCTTCATCCCTGCTCTGCGACAATGGCTTAGTAGTAGAATCCCCGACTGATGCCAATTCAGTCTGGTTTCGATCTTAGCTAAAGAAAACCCGACGTCTAGCCACACTGATGAGCTGTGGTAGAGCGGAACAGTCTGTCTGTGGATGACTATATGTATATGAGGGTAAATAAATTATCTCTTTTATTTTCATAGGATCGCATATTTAGAAACTTTGCGTGTTCTAAATGTGGAAGGAAAATGCACGTAACCCAATCTGTTTGAGACGACATATTACGCTAATTATCTCCCCTTGTTCCCAGCTTTCTCTTTCTTTGCTCGTCCTATTAGGCGACACCAACTGTTGTTCTGTTCTATTTGATAGCTATTTGATGTCAAAAGAGCCGGAAGTAATGGGGTTTTATCTGAAAGAGGCGATCTCATCGGCAATGGAGGCAATCAGTACATAAAACCGATTTGTCCTTATTATATTCGTTTATAACTTCGACTGATTACATATTTTCTTTGTCGTTCGTTTAAATCCGAGTTCGCCATCGGCACAGTTGTCATAGCTCAGCCGGTAAAGACGTTGGTCATTTGTAATTTTATAGTAACGTGTTAGGGTTCAGGTTCCTAACTTTTTTTGAGGTTACATTGAATTATTTAGGGTTCAGTTTTACGAGTTATAATAACCCCTGACCTGAAATGAAGTATGTGTGAACAAATGCCCCTTCATGCAAATTTCTAATCAGTCAATGACAGAACAATTTAATGGATAGAAGCCTTTAAACATGGTCAAAACCAGCTGAATTTTATTTCAGGCAAGAAAGAAAGTTAATTTAAAAAGAAAGTTAATTTAAATGAATTTGAATGCGCCATGGACGTCAATGCAAAACTAATTATTGTTCTAATACAACAATACGGAATAGCATATCTGAACATACAACAAATAGAACCTTGAAGCACTATTTACATTATTCGGACTATTGTCCTCATCTTTGTCACCATATTTATTACAACGTTTCGGCCGTTGTACGATCTGGCCTTCTTCAGGTGGTTGGAATGTCAAACTTAACCCTTTATTTCGCTGACTGGGGTAGATTGTTCTAGTTCCTTGTGCTATGTCTAATGGATGCCTGCACAATGAACTTCGTGATGCCAAGTTCATTGTGCAGGATATTCTTAACTCTGTCATGGGATATTCCAATAGCATCGGCGATTTAATTTATAGTCAATTGCTTATTATCCATCACCATGTGTTGTACATGATCAATAGCAGTTGCAGGACGTCCGGATCTTGAGTCATCTTCAAGACTATTCCTTCGCCAATGAAATTAAGCTGCCCACTTTTGCCACTGTTGATAAAGCTGGAATGTGATGTAGAAACAATGTCATCACGAATGACCTTGATGACTAACCCCCTATATGTTATTCATTTTCAAGTGACTACTCGTTATTTTAGAAGACTTTAGAACAGTCAGATGTCAGTTCATCTGTGAAGAAACAATGCAATTATTAATAAGAAAATGCATCCAAAATTTCACGGCTGCAGAGTCACTCCTTCAGAGTCAGCCTATGAAGGTTTCTGTCCACCCTCGTCATGAAGAAAAAAAAGTCTAGGTGCATATGCCACTCACAGGACATATTGTAGACAAGAAGGGACAGAGGGAAAAAAGCGAGTCGGGGGGGGGATATTAATGAGAACATATTGCTTAGAGCTACAAACGATAGGAAGTGGTGGAGAACCATGGTCAAACCTATTTAATGAGCTTGTGTTAATGGATAGCAGAACAAGGATTGGGGGATAGTAAGAGAACAAATATTATTTAGAGCTACAAAGGATAGGAAGTAGTGGAGAGTCATGATCAACTTACCTAATGAGTTTATGTGAAGTGATGGCAGAACAGGGAATGGGAGTGATAGTAAGAGAAAAAAACATAATTTAAACCTACAAAGGATAGGAAGTAGTGGAGAGTCATGATCAACCTACCTAACAACCTTGTGTGAAGGGATGGCAGAACAGGGAATGGGTGGGATAGTAAGAGGACAAATATTACTTAGAGCTAAAAAGGATAGGAAGTAGTGGAGAGTCATGATCAACCTACCTAATGAGTTTGTGTGAAGGGATGGAACAAGAGGGATAGGAATTTGAAAGAGCAATGAAGAAAAGTTTGATATCTTCCCACCGACCTTTCAAAAATTTACTTTTTTAGGCAATATGGAATTTTTGAAAATTTGTCAAAAATGGATACATGCCCACCGTCACCTGAGTCTGTTCACTGCCCCCCCAAATGAAATAAAAAAAACTCCCAGTGCCCCCTTTCAACATAACAGAGCCCACAAGGGGGCGCTATCGGCCACATTTGCCTCTTCAATAAATGCTTCACAAACCTCTCGGTCATTTGAAAAGGAGTAAAGGTTTATCCTTTGTTGCTTGTCTTGGATTTTTCGTTTCTCGTTCGTTCTCAAGTATTTTCATTCTCTTTCATCCCTAATAGCTCCTTTCGTTTTAAGGGCATTATCGCCTTGCTTGAGGTGAATTGATAAAAACAAAACTGGTCTGGTGTTTATTCTATGCATGTACAGATTCTTGATAAATTATAAATAAAAATCTGCAATGATATCGGTCCTGATCTGACAACTCGGCATCAGTTATTTAATATTCAATAATAAATATTTTCACGTATTCGGATGAGCTTTCCTCATTGGTGCCACGACTCTACGAATTTAAGCGCAGTACTAGATTGGCTGTTATGTCTCATAATTTCACAATTGAAATTGCGAGGTGTAACCATACATTCTCTGCTACTGACTCTTTTTCTCACTCTTGTCAATTCTTGTCTTGCAACGCCATTTATTATCTCCAGCCTTCTCCCTGTTCTTGTATTGTTCTCTCTCTCTTTAATAATATCTGTAATGGTATCAGCCCTGATCTGGCATCTCGACTTCAGTCAGTTTCCTTACACCGTTATATGGTTTTTATGTTGTTTCTATAAATATCTTCATGGCAGTTATTCTAATGAGCCCTCCGTTCCACAAATTTGAGTGTAGCACTAGATTGGCGGTTAGGTCTCATTGTTTTACTGTAGAAACAGCTAGATGTAGTTGATTTTCTGGAATTCTCTTCAGGCATTCTGCTTTCCTGTCAATTACGAACTTCAAAAATTTAGATGCAGCGTCAATCGCCATCTTCTGTCTCCTTGAATCTTTGTGTCCTCTTTGGATGTGAAAGCGGCCCCTAAAGTCACGTGATTTCAACTCCATTGAGGAAGTGATGAAAAGGGAAATTCAAATTCTGGGTGTACAGCCAATAAATCGAGATTTACTTCCTTTATTCGTTCTTTTTCTTCAGTTCCTTCTTATTTTTATTCGTTTTTATCCTTCACACTCTT